GGCGGAGAGGGTGGGTGTGCTCAGCGCGCGCGCAGCCGCCTTTTCAACCTGCTGCTCCACCCGCGCCGCATACTCCCCGCGCTCGGCGCCAGCGCGCCGGCTCCCGAACTGCAGTAGACGGTGCGGGGCCAGCGCCGCAGCAGAGGCGGCAAGCCCAGGAGCATCTGAGCTTGTGCCCTAGAACTTCCTGGAAGGAACCTGTGAAGGGAAGGAGAGGGGAAAATCTTCATGACCTTGGATTTGGGAATGGTCTCTTAAGTCTGACGTCAAAAGCACAGACAACAAAAGAAAACCTGGATAAATTGGAGTGCATCAAAATTTAAAATTTGTGTATCAAAGGACACAATCATTTGATTGTGAAAAGACAACCCATGGAATGGGAGAAAATATTTGCAAACATATATCTGAAAAGGGGCTAATAGCCAATTAGAAAAAGAACTCCTACAACTCAACAACAGCAAAAAAACCCAACTCAATTCAAAAATAGGAAAATGACATGAAGAGACATTGCTTCAAACAAGATACACAAATGGACAATCAGCACATGAAAAGATGCTTAACATCATTCGTCATTGGGGGAATGCAAATCAAAACCGCAATGGGAGATACTACATCACACCCACAGAGAGCTATTATCAAAAAAAAAAAAAGGCGAGGGTGGGAATAATGTTTGTGAGGATGTGGAAAAACTGGAATCCTGCTGCATCGCTGGTGGAAATGTAAAATGGTGCAGCTGCTGTGGAAAATGTTACATGGTTCCTGAAAACATTAAAAAGAATTTCCATATGACCCAGCAATTCTACTCTGAGGTATGTATCCAAAAGAAACGTGATGTGTAATGGAAACTGACTAAATCACCAAATTTAGTAGCTCTCTCCTGTGATCAGAGAAATCATCCATGTCTGTTGTACTGATTACCTATTACCATCACCGTACCTAGCGTGGATTCACCATTCCGGCTCCACTTCTGAGGAAGCAGAAAATGAGCTTGTGATTACAATTTCAAGAAATGAGTTGTGAAGAGTTGGTCTTCTTAATCCCCTCTAGCCTGCATTGAACTAGAGAGAGGGTACTGACGCTGTGATTGCAAATAAACTCTGCTTTCCCCAGTCGTCTTTTCAGCATTTTTTCAAGAAAAAATTCTTGAACACTTACTCTGTGTAGAGCTGTGGGAACTATCTCGATTGTTCCTCCTTCCTGAACTCAAAGAAACCTGGAGCTCCTTTTTATACCCGTGAAACCCACTGATTTGGGTTGCTTCTCTGCTTGCCTTTTCAAAGGTTTCTTTTGCTTTTACTACTGCCATGGGGACACCCCTCCCCATGTTCTAGATCACTGCTAGTTACATTTTTGAGCCTTTTACAAATATCTGCTACTGCCATATCAAGAATGAAATGAAGACAACAGGGTAATTTGCATCTAATATGCAGGATGAAATGGTTCCAGTCTATTAGGAGGGCTGCAGGCTCTCCATAGCTACATGTCTTTATAGGATGAGCTGAGGGAGAGGAGTTCTCTAGATGCCTTCTCCTTCCCTATTTCTTCCTTAGCTCATGCTGTGGAATTAGGGTGTGCCTTGCACACACACAAATTCCATGCTGCACACATATGCCTTTCTGCCTTACAGATGTTTCTCTTACTCTCATGTAACAAATTACCACAAATGTGATTTAAAACAACCCACAGTTTATTATCTCACAGTCTCTGTGGGTCAGGAGTCCAGCTTGGTCCTCTGCTTATGGTCTTACAAGGCTGCAATCAAGGGGTTGGCTGGTCTCATCTGGAGGCTTAAGTTGGGAAGAATCTTCCAAGCTCGCTCAGGTTGTTCGCAGAATTCATTTCTATGCAGTTGTAGGACTGAGAGCCCTTGCTTCTTCCTGGCTGTCAGCTGGAGGCCACCCTCAACATCTAAAGGCCACCCACAGTTCCTTGAGGCCCCCCTACAGTTCTTTGTCACTTGGGTTTTCCCAACATGGCCATTTCATCAAGCCGAAAAGTAGGCTCTACAGTGGGTATACTAGAAGACAATCTTACATAATGTAATATAATTATGCGAGTGACATCCCATCACCTTTGCTGTGTTCTGTTGATTAGAATCAGATCACATGTCCACCCACATTCAGGAGGATGGGATTACACAAAGCATGAACACCAGGAGGTGGGAATCATGAAGGGAAGACCTTAGAGACTGTCTCCACAAACAGCACCAAGGAAAGGTTTAAGTTATCATCTGCTCTCATTTCTTCCATTTCATTCAGCCAAATGGGCTGATTCTACTTTCTTGTTCCACTGTTACTTACCATCACTTGCCCCTGCCCTGCCCCTTGAAGTTTTTTCCAAACCTTTCTCAAGTTACCATAAATTCTTTAACATTCATATTGTCCCTATGATGATATCTTCTGTCTCTCTTTCTTCCTTGATAAGGATGAAAGAACTCTAGTTTCCCCTATCAGCCAAAGAAGCAATCAATAAACATAATTTATGGGGTCTTTGTTAATTGATTTCCTTTCTAACCACAGTGTCTCTCCTGGGACCTCTTCCAGCACAGGGAAAGCCAGTTTTTTGAGTTTTTTTCATCAGCCACTTGTTTTTAATCCATTGCCAGTCACTATTGAGAGAGGCAGACCACCATGGGCCTTTAGTATTCCTCAAGGTTCTTCTTACTGGGTATGCCAAGAATACAAATCCTCCACTGTTTTCCAGGCTGTTTCTCAGGGTTGTGTCTGCAACAAGTATCCTTGACAAACATGGCAACACCCCCTCTTATAGAAGGATCAGGTGTGCTTCTTCTTACTATAAAAGCAGTGAATCTCCGAACCTCAGTGTTGCTCTCTTGTCACACAGTGCACTGTATGTGCAGGCATCCCATGCCACTCCCATGGCACGTGGTAGACATGGGGATCTGATGCCAAAAAACAAACAAACAAACAAACAAACATGCTAAAGCTCTTGCTAGGTCTGCGC